TGCAGTGAGACCTGTTCTGATATCCTATTATCTCACTGCCCGTGACACTGCAGCACCTTCTATGGCACCCATGGAGACGCATATGCCTTCTGGGGCTTCTGGTAGTTTGTTTCTTCCAGGCTCCAGATATGATCCCTGGACTTCTGAGCAAGCAAACTGCTACCATCCGTTTTTATTTAATGGTCTCCTATGGGAAATCAACTTTTAGCTGCTTATAGAGATCTGATTAAAATCAAGCATCTACGTGATGACCATCTATCTACATAAGAAAAATATCAAAACCACATGTACCCTAAATTTCGTTTACTTGAGTTATGTCCTATCTGGAATAAAACAATGTTGCCCATGCCACAGATGGCTGTATTTAGGTGGATGTGGTATATCTGGGCAGTAGCATCTCCCTGTAGATACTTTCCGCTTCTGTATGGTGGTGATGAGCTGTCCCCTAACTAGGAGTATGGTGACCTCAGGGATGCTGGTTCTAAGTTCTCCTTACTTTATAGCTAGCCATGACTTTTAAGTGAGCTAGGAAGCCACCTGCCAGGGTTCACTGATGGCTCAGTGTGATACAAGTAACCAAATAGAGCATGGGGGCAACAATGCATTATCCAGCCCTGAAAGATTTCCACAAGTACATGAGATGGGTCCCTCATTCTAGTAGGATGAGCTAGGGGCTCTACGTATGGTAATTACCAAGGTTATCTACTTGTGCATTTCCTCCATCTCCTGCTAAATGACTTTCGGATTCTGGATAATGGCCTCAGTCACTGGTTTCAGTGGGGAGACATTTCTCATTAAGACCAAACTGCTTTGGCTGGGGCACCTGTGGAAAGAGTTTAAGCTTGTTGGAAAGGATCAGCATCTAAATCTAGTATGATGCTCATCACCGGAAAGGCTCTTCCTCTTGCTATGCGGATACCACAACACAAGTCGTCTTGTTCTCAGTCCTGACCCTTGTGTCACTAGCACAGGTAGGCTAGCACAGTAACTGCCAGGGATTCCCTCTTCCTAGTTGCTCTATTATGCAACTACCTTTTCTTTTGCACCAGCTGTCAGCAATGTGGGCTTTTTGAGAGTCCCTTTTGTATGACTGTATCAGTTAGATGTTTTTGTATGACTGCATCAGTTAGATATCCTGTAAACTATATGGGACTCTTTCCTTTTTGTCCGGACCAAAAAAAAAAAAAAAAAAAATGTATACTGACCCTGGAGGACTTACTCCGGAATTGAGATTCCTTTCTGTTTCATTTGCTTGTTAAGGAGGCAGCAGCCCCTCTGTTTTTAGAGATAGGGCATGTCACAGCATGCCCCTGTTGCTTCCGCCCAATACTGAGCGTGAGAAATGGACATTCAGTGGAACTTCTACCTTGCCTACCATCCCCAGTTGGGGTGGGGCAGTCAGCATCATTGAAATGTAGAGTGGCCTTTCAAGAACCAACCAGCCCCCCTTCCCAACTCCATCTTTCTCTCTTTGTGTCCCGTCTTGCCCACATAGTAAAGTCCTGAGTGGCCACTCCCTTTGTGGCTTTGTTTCTTTAGCCACTGAGGTGTGCAGGGTCTGGGCTGAAGAGTAGAGAACTGGGCTCATGTTTTTCTAATCTGGTCTTTGTCCCACATTTGTATCTATAGCTGTGCATCTTAATAGCCTCTTGGTAAGGAATCCTGAGCCTAGAAAAGCTAGAAATGCTACCATAATTTCCCTACATGATACATATATTAACCTTTTCTGCTTCTTCTTTTCAGGGATAGCTCTCCATATTCCACTCTACTCATCCTTCTGTTTTTCGCATTTTGAATATAAGATTGTATATTTTTATTTTTCTATAATTTTTACCTTTTCTACTGTGAATTTAGTAAAGGGGGAGATCTTATCATGCACTCAGTCTGTCATCATGAATGAACGGGAAGCCAGATCCCCCTTTCAAACTCAATTCCCCTTTCTTCATTGTGTAGATCAACTTATCTCCCTACCCCCTACTCAGCTCTGAGCTCCTGTTTATATATGCAAAGGCTCATTGATGTGCTCTACTAAACAGTAGATTATATATTCCAACTCTCCTCTTTGGCAGCCTGGGATAATTGGCAGAAGGTTTAAAATTTCCATCTTTCCCTTCATCCTCCCCCATTAATCTCAGCCAGGGGAAAGAAGCTACATAAGTTTATATCCTTTCTAATATGAATTATGTCTTCCTAAAAAGGCAGATGCAATTGTTTTTAGTAATATTTTTTTTCTCTATTATAATTATAAGTAACAATTGTGGAGCACTTCTGGACCAAGAATTCTATAAAGTAAATTTACAAACATTAGCTCAGTTAATTCTTACAACATCTCAAATGTCAGTATTTCATCTATGTATACAAGCAAGAAAACAGGGACTGAGAGAGGTGTTGACTATCATCTCACACCTACTGAAGGGCAGAACTGGAATTCAAATTCATGCTTTGTCTGATTTTAGAGTGAACTTTTTAAATAAAGACTCTGATAGTAAATATTTTAGGCTTTGCAGGCCATGTAAGGAGTCTCTTGTGCATATTCTTTAATACATCTTTAAAAATGCAAAAACTATTCTCACCTGGTAGACCATCAGAAACAGGCCATACCAACAATCATATGATAAAAGAACTCAACATCACTGATTGTTGGAGAGATGCACATCAAAACCACAATGAGATACCATCTCACATCAGTCAGAAGGGCCATTACTGAAAAGTCAAAAAATAACAGACGCTAGTGAGGTTGTAAGAAAAAGGAACACTTATACACTGTAGGTAGGAGCATAAATTAGTTCAACAATTGTGGAAAACAGTATGGTGATTCCTCAAAACCCTAAAGACAGAAGTACCATTTGACCCAGTAATGCCATTACTGGGTGTATACACAATGAATGGAAATTATTCTATTACAAAGACATGTGCACAGGTGTGTGCATTGCAGCAATTCACCATAGCAAAGGCATGGAATCAACCTATGTGCCCATCAATGATAGACTGAATAAAGAAAATGTGGTACATAACACCGTGTAATACTGTGTGGCCATGTAAAAGACTGAGATCATGTCCTTTGCAGGGAAATGGATGAAGCTGGAGGCTATCACCCTTAGCAAACCAACACAGGAACAGAAAACCAAATACCACATGTTCTCACTTGTAAGTGGGAGCTAAATGATGAGAACACATGGACACATAGAGGGGAACAACACACACTGGGGCCTATTGGAGGGAAGGGAGAAGATCAGAAAAAATAACTAACTAATGAGTACTAGGCTTAGTATCTGGATGATGAAATTATCTGTACAACAAAGGCCCATGACACAAGTTCATCTATGTAACAAACCTGCACATATACCCCTAAACTTAAAAGTTAAAAGAAAAAGAAGAAAAGAAACAGGCCCTGGGCCACATTTGATCTGTATTTTGCCATCCCCTGTGCTAGAGCATCTGCTTTAACCACCATAGCCAGGAGGGGGTGGCCAGACGGGGAATAATTCCCCCTTGCTGTCCCCATGTCAACACCACAAATAGCAGCATGTTGCAGCAATGGTTTAGAGGCAGGCAAAGCCTATATGTTCCAGCTGCGTTTTTGTCCCTGCTTTCTGAAATGGGAATTAGACAGGACAATAAGACTGATCTTTTTTTTTTTGCTTGTTTTTAATCCGCTTGTCCCTATCTCCTGGTATTTGTCACATTGAGCATTTGGGGCCCAGGTAAAGAAGCTGTGAGTTCTGTGCCACTTTTCTCCTCCAAGGCTTCAGGCAACAACTGCTTTGCTGTTCCTTCTGGCTGAGAGACACGTATCATAAGCCTGTTTGGGGAGAAGAGAAGAGGTCAAAAGGGTAATAACTAGAGTCAGAGTCTTCACTTCCTCATTGTTCTCAATCAATAGACAGATAATTATTTAACGTTTATTTTAGAACATAAGGGAGCCCATTTGGTAGGCAGGTAATAGGTTAGAGCTCAGAGGTGATAAAGACCTAGCATAAGAGAGATTGACAATGGAGTGATTTTAAGGAAATAACAGGGCTTGGTTGCAGGATATGAAGCATGGGCAGAAACCTGGGCTGATTGTAAGAGGGCCAGCCTGGGTGACTGAGAGGATTATGATGCCACTGAATGATAAAAAACAGCAGGAAAATGTGGATGGGAAGATGCCAAAGTCTGTACTGGATGAGTTAAGTTTGAGGCTGTTTTCACATGCAATTTGAAATACAGGTTTGGAACTAATGCAAATGCCAGGCTAAATTGTTTAGGATTTAGTCCCAGGACAACCTGGACCTACTGGAAATATTTGTGCTGAGGTGTCTCTTCACAAAAGCTCTGTTTAGAAAAATTATTTTGTAGGAGGAAGAGGCCTTGTATATTATGATGCAACGTTTCCTGCCTATGATGTGATGGGTCGTGGCAGTAAGAAAAGAAAGAGACAGAGACATCCAAAAGATACTTCGCAGTGAGAATTGCATAAACTTGGTATTAAAATTTAATACACATTTCTTCTAAACACACTATTTTCCCCAATATTTTATTTTTATAAATTCTAAATGGACCATTGGGAGAAAATAGTACAATAATTACCCATATTCTCTTCACATAAACTTACCACTAATTAACATTTTTTGCCTATTTACTTGCTTTCTCTCTCTTAAAAGAAAAAATATTTTTGTCTATATAACCACATTATAATGATCACATTCAGGACATTTAATAAAGATATTACTGTCTTATCTAATATATCACCCATGTTCCAATGTCCGTGATTTATTCTAACAATGGATTTTATGGGTTTTTTTTTTTTGGCATTCAATCAATGGTCAGATATTGCATTTAGTTTATCATGTCTTTTCCATCTTCTTTAATTTTGAACAGTTTCCCTGCTCTGTTGGTATTTTATGACAGTGACCTTTTGAAGAGTCTAGACCAGTTCCTTTGAAGAATGCCTGGTGATTAGAATCTCTCTGAATGCTTCTTTATGATGAAATTCAGGTTAGAATTTTCAGTGGGCGTAACATATAGGTAGGGCTGCATCCTAATGACAGCGCCGCAGATGATGCAGGTAATGTCGATCTGTCCCATTACTGGTGAACATAAGTTCCATCATTTGGTTAAGGTGGTGTCTGCCAGAGTTTGACATTTTTTTTTTTATTGCATTTTAAGTTTTGGGGTACATGTGCAGAACATGCAAGACAGTTGCATAGGTACACACGTGGCAATGTGTTTTGCTGCCTTCCTCCCCTTCACCCACATTTGGCATTTCTCCCCATGCTATCCCTCCCCAGATCCCCCCTGCTGTCCCTCCCCTATTCCCCCCAATGGATCCCAGTGTGTAGTGCTCCCCTCCCTGTGTCCATGTGTTCTCATTGTTCATCACCCACTTATGAGTGAGAATATGCGGTATTCGACATTTCAAATGTACTTTTCCTTTTACCTGTTGGGTAACGCTTTGAGATTATTTGAATGTCCTAATTTCTAAAATTTATTCCCATTCACTTAATGTTTTAGCATCCATTGATTATCCTTGCCTGAATCAATTATTACATTGGTGGTTGAAAAACTGAGGTTTTCTAACTCTATAATTCGTTTACATTTGCTGGCTAGCATTCTTCTGCGAAAAAGAACTTTCCTTCCCCCAGCTTTTGTTTTTTTGGTGTCATTCTGAACTCATGGATTTTTAAAGTTCAATATTTTTTAATCCATTGCTATCATTTTTCTTCTTTTAAAAACTGAGCTATAATTTACATACAGTGCGGTGCCCAGATCTTACATATACAGTCAGATGAGTTAGGACAAGCATGTACACCCACAGGATTCACACTCTTATCAAGATACAGAACATTTCCAACACCACAAAGCTTCCTCAAGTTCCTTCCTGGTTAATCCCTGTACTCATTCTAGGCAATCACTTTTTCATATTAATTTGAATGTCCAATCCATTCCAAATTCATTCCAAATTCGGTCAATAAGAGCCTGTTTATGCTGGTGTTGGGGCTTTTCTGTTACGCTTCCATCGGTTTCTGAGCAGTCCTGGCTCTCCTGCACACCTGTCTTTTGACTTTACTTACGGTGCTTTTTTTGGTGCCATATTAAAGTTTATTTTACTGTAATTAAAAAATCTAGTTTGTTTTCATTGTACCTGGATCTTTAACCCTAGTTAGAAAGCCTTTCCCCACACCTAGTACCTATGCGATTCCATCTTTTACATTTTAAAAATGTATTTGGAGTTTATTCTGCTGAATGATATGAAGAAAGGAGCCACTTTTATCATCTTCTCAAAGATAATTCCGTTGTCCTAATGCCACTTGTTAAAAAGTTTGTCTTTTCCTCAGCGATTTGGGATGCCAAGCTCTATGATATACTAAACTTCTGCGTGTACTTGGGCTATTTCTGCATTTTCCCTTCCACGCCAATGGCCTAAATTTTCCTTTGTCTTGCGTTAGAATCATAATCTTTCTTTCTTATTATTTCCATTTGCCTGATAACTTGCCTTTCCCTTTATTTTTTAGCATTTTGAATCAATTCACCTTAGAGGTGTCTTTTGTGTTCACCATACCTTTGGCTTTGGCTCTTTGAGCCAAATTCAACAGACAAGTACGTTCATGCTAATTAGCATGACCAATGTTCTATCCCGACTTTGTCATGTTCTTTTGTTATTTTTCCTATCAGTATTACGTTGTATTTGCTGTGCTTCTTTCTATTATTTGTTCTTTGCTTATTTTTCTTTTTAGTATTTCTTCCATCATTTAAGAATTTGTCTGGTTGTTCTAGTACATTCTACTTTTTATGGCACCTGCCGTCTCCTCTTCTCATATTTAGGCATCTACTATTTTGTTGTCAGGTTTAAATGTTGTCTTGGACTCATCTCTCCCGTCCGTGTGACAGTCAATGAATTTATTTATTTTTTTCTTTATCTTTCATTTTCTCACTTTTAAAAGGAATCTGCCTTGGAACTACTTTTAAAGACATTTAAGCATTTAAGCATTATGGTCTCTCACCCTTGTCCCACCTTGGTTTTAGTATTAGAGCAATGAATGTATTTAGTTCTTGCTCTAAATCCTTTCCTTGATATTTTCCAGGCACCTCTTGGTTAGAAGATGCTTAGTTTCTAGTTGATTCTTCAGAAGGGGATTCTGAGTACAGATTTCCCTTCGTTCCTGCACATTAAAAAACTTTTCCTCTAGCCTTGATATTTGAAGGACAGCTTGATTGGATATAAGATCCTTTGCTTACGCTTTTAAAAAAAATTCTTGGAAATACTGTTTCATCACCGGCAGACGTTAAGAAGTCTGACTTCAAACCTTTTCTTCCACTATCAAGGGTAGAGAAAAAGTTTTAAGTTTGATCAAGATATATGCTTAATGTCTCAGACTTAAGCGTTCGGGTCAATATTCTCAGGCACAGGATGGCTCTTTCAACGTGCAGATTCAGGTCTTTTTTCATCTGGGGGAAGTTTTCTTTGAATGATAACTTTAAGTATTATTTCTGTTCATTTTTTTCTTCTTCAGAGATTTCAATTATATATGTTGAGTTACCTTTGCTGTCTTCTATGTTAATCATTGTCTGACACCTTTAAAGCACCTTCTTTACGTCATTTTTGTTTTCTTGACTGTCTCATTATATTTTTAGTTAAATATATTCTCCCTTGGGCACCTTTCAATTTAGTTTTCATTCTAAGATGATTTTGTCTTTTTCTTCAATTTATTTCCTAATTTAATTGACTCTTCTTTTACGCCTTTCTGGGAGTTTTTATCCATTTCTGTTCTCAGTATTTGAATTTCTTTTTTCTTTTTTTTTTTTTGCCAATCAGTTTGAGCTTATGAGGTTGCTCAGGTTAGCCTTGAACTGATGACCTCGCCTTCGCGAGCGCCATGACCTCCGGCGGGAGCCACTTTGGACCCCTGAATTTATTATTTGAGTTGCTTCTATACGTGCAAATATGTGCTTAAGGATGTTTATACCTGCTTGCAGTGTTGTGGTATAGTTTTCTTCTGCTTCAGGTTGGAAATGGGGGAGAATTTTTACCAACTGAAATATTTTATATCTCATTTTTCTTTTTCTTTTCTTTTTTTTCTTTTTGAGACAGAGTCTTGTTCGGTCGCCAGGCGCCAGGCTGGAGTGCAGTGGCGCAATCTCCGCTCACTGCAACCTCCGCCTCCCTGGTTCAAGCAGTTCTCCTGCCTCAGCCTCCCGAGTAGCTGGGACTACAGACACACGCCACCATGCCCAGCTAATTTTTTATATTTTAGTAGAGACGGGGTTTCACTATGTTGGCCAGGATGGTCTTGATCTCTTGACCTCGTGATCCGCCTGCCTCGGCCTCCCAAAGTTCTTTTTCTTTTCATGTAACTTTGTACAGATACTGTCTGTTCTTCCTCAGTTCATTTTGAAATATTTATTTTTCCAGACTATTTTTTTTTTTTTGAGATAGGGTCTCACTCTGTCGCCCAGGCTAGAGTGCAGTGGAGTGATTTCAGCTCACCACAAACTCTCCCTCCCAGGTTCAAGTGATTCTTGTGCCCCAGCCTACAGAGTGGCTGGGATTACAGATACACACCACCACACCTGGCAATTTTTTTTATTTTTTAGTCGAGACAAGGTTTCATCATGTTGGCCGTGCTGTTCTGGAACTCCTGACCTCAGGTGATCCACCTGCCTTGGCCTCCCAAAGTTCTGGGATTACAGGTGTGAGCCACTGTGCCCAGCCTATTTTCTCAGACTGCTAGTGACAGCTGTGTGTAGACAGGGATGTGAGAGGCTTACCATAATTTTTTTGTTTGAGAATACTTTCTTATTGAGGTATGAAATGTGAGCTCTTTACTACATGGTGCCTTTCACAGGAGACGAGTCAGTTGTGAGCTGGTGATTCTCTTTTGTTTCTATAGGGTCGTCAATTTTAATTTCCACTTCCTGTTCCTTTTTTCCCTTTGCCACTCAGCCTCCAGATGATGCTTCTTTGAAGTCATCTTCTTCTCCCTCAGAAGCAACCCCTTCTTAAGCGGTCACCATCTTTGGCTCTCTGAGCCTCCAAGGCTTTTCCAGTAGATTCTTTAGTGGCCATGCTCTGATCACCAAGGCCCTGCATAGTCTCATCTGCCCACTCTGGGTGGTATTTTTTTTTATAATTCACTCCACGTCCACCCCCTGCTCCCCAGGTCCTCCCTTCCTTCACCTCTCTGGTACTTTTTCCCAATGGCTCTGCTGGTTTGATTTATTTCCTAACTTGTGCATTTCAGAGTATTCTTGGGTTATGACTGGTTTTATTAAGTCTTCTTTTAATTTTTAGGCCTTTTCTTGGGGGGAGGATATATGAATTGATTTGAATTCAATTGGCTATTGTTATCCTACTGGAAGTTGGATCCCTCATAAGCTTTGAAATTTGAAATACATGTTAGAGATTACTTAGCTCAAATCCCTCTATTCACAAATGAGAATCTTAGTTCCAGTAATAGCAAACAATTTGTCCAGCCTTGTACAGGAGCAGACCCAAGACTACCACTCTATTCCCTCTCTGTCTCATAACAATAAAATACCCTCTCAAAATGCAGATAAATTGCACGATGGGGGGAATCCCCAAAGTCAGAAGTCTCAAGGATTTCTATACATTTGTTTAGTTAGTGTCCTGACAAGCTACAGAGAATAGAAATTGTTCTCCTGAGTTGCTTGGAATTGTAATAGAAGGCCAAGGAAATAGCTCTGGTCCTGTTGAATTTTCAAGCCCTGGAAGAAATTGCCTTTGCATTCTTATCTCTGACTGTGCAAGCTCTTAGGGGTAGAGGAAGAGTAGAAGCTCTTAGGGGTCTGATCTAAGCTGGAGTTTTGCTTGCATATGGGAAGGTAGGAGAGAAGAAGAAATAAGAACATCGAATTTTCTCCTCTCTTCTCCCCCAGAATCCTCAGAGATTATTTTATTACCATTCTTTTTCATTTGATTCTTATCTATTTGGCAAAGAAACCACAAGGAAAGCCATGATGAGTCAAGGCCAAAACACTGGCTGAGGATGATTCACTCAGTCGGCAGCACTAATGGTGGACCTCCGGTATGCTAGACTGCTGAACTGC